ATAGAAAACTATTTTTTGGTGTGGCAACAATCCTGTTCGCTTGTTGTACTATTATTAGTATATTCGTGTAAACATTCTGTTGGATTAGTAATCTTATTTAACTTGTATCAAGTTAGCGATAAAACACGTATTCAACCATAAGGCAAACGAAAAGCAAAAGGGCATTCCAAGAAAGTTAGCACAGCTTTAAACTTTTTAAATGGATATAAATAAAACTGTAAAATATTGTTCATTTGGTTAAAACCTCAATGAATATGTTTGTGTTGTACATTGTACTTTGTTGAGAAATAACAATGTGAAATGCATACTGAAAAATTTGATGATCAAAAAAATGGTTACCTACCTTTTAATCTAGTTAGAACATGTAAGCTTTCTTCTGGTATACGTTTGAGACAAGGTTGAGGGGGAGCCAGATTTACGAACTTATCCGGCGGAGTCCTTTGTTTTTTCTGTTACTATACGCCGTTCTTCTGTCAGGAATACTTTGACTGTTCCTGAAGTATCCTTGACGTATTCTTTCTGCTGGGGTTGAGTCTAATAAACTTAAAAAAGAACTTAATTGAAAGAGCGAATCTAAGAGCCGCTATTTCGTTTTTCTATTCTATGTGGAACCCATAAATCATGTATGCCACATTATTTAGCTTAACGCCATGCATTCATATAAAAAAAATGAATTATGAATATAATTTCTTGCTTTTTTCAGTATCTGACATATCTAAATTTCGATGTTTTTGAAACACGACGGCGGAATCATGGCGGTTGTAGAAAGAAATTCCGTCGCAGATTTTCGATCATGGCGGTGTACTGCAAAGTGGGACCTTTAGTTTGAACTTTCAATTGATTTGAGTTGTCATCTGACCTGCTTTGTATACAGTGTTAAAAAAAGTATGCTGAAAACTACTGTTTTCAGAAATTGCGATTCTATAGGACACTTTTCAAAAAAGCTCGTTCGTTCGTGAAGAGTCGAAACGAACCTTTTGAAAGCAAACCAGACTTCTAAAAGCCTCAGACTAAGAAACACCTTTAAAATTGTATTTTCATGAAATAATTTGTGAAGAAAGGAGCTTTTAATGTGTTACAGAAAAGAACATGATAAACGACAGCAGAGAAATGAAGTATCGATCTCTCGGATCTCTTAAACAGTTATTGTACTGAAAGCTATAGCAAGAGCTAAAAGAACGAAATGGATAATGTTAACACGATGACTACCAGCTGAATGATGAACCGTGCTGCAAGTGGTATAATCAGGTACTGTTACGACCGTTGGTCCTATATAACAATATGGTGTAACGGCTAAGATAATAGATGATTGTGTTATTGTTACAGCGGCATCTTTCGCATACAAACCGCCATTCACAGTAGCACCATTAACTGTTATACTTGTGCCAGCGAGCAATAGTCCGTTTATTATACATCCAGTTCCGATTGTAATACTTGAGCCGACTTGAAAATAGATATGAGACGCAGTTGCGCCATTCAGTAAGATAATGTGACAGTTATTCGATGTTATGAATGTCGTACTGATTTGAAAGACAAACGGACCGGTACCATTTAATGTTAGATTACCTGAAAGGGTAATGGCTGACGTTGTAAAATTGTAAACACCTGGATTCAATATCAGCGTAGCCAAATCTGTCCCCGTTAGAGTT